TCCATATTGTTTTTGTTGTTGATAATCAATCAAATCTTGTTGATCATCATCAGCTCCACTATCATCATTATTTAATTGTTCATTATTTTTTTTAGTTGATAAAAATTTTCTAACATCAAGACCAACAAGTGGAAATTGTACAGGATAAACTAATTTTGAATTAGACATTTTTGTTTGACAAAAGCGTTTTAAATGTATAATTAAAACTGGTGGTAATGTTGCAATTTTTAAATTTTTAACTGTTCCATTTTCTTTTCGACGACAATGTGTACACATCCATGCATCATCCTAAATAAAATGAACTCTTTCAAAAAAAAAAATTTAAATTATTTATTATTATTATTATTACATGATTTAAACTTTCTGATTGTGTAAATAATGAAAAACAATCAGCTAAAGATATTAATGATGATGATGGTTGATGTAATGCTGCACGAGCTTGTGCAACTGATTGATGAATATCAGGTTTATCATCATTAGAACCCCATTTTGATATAAATTGACCAAGATATTTTTCATGCCAATTAGCATATACTTGAATATGTGATGGTCCAAGACCAGGACCATCATATGCATCAAGTATTTCAACAATTTTTTCAAGATAAAGTGGCCATTGTATATCATAAGGTATTGGATATTCTTTTTTTATTGTTTCACCAATTGTTGATTGATATTGATCAATAAGTGATAATTGAAAAACAACAAATTCTTGTGCATATTCCATTGCTTCATCACGTATCATTGATCGTTGAGCTTTTATTATTGATAATTGTAATGCACGATAATTTGATTCACGTGGTACACGAACAGCTTAAGAAATTAAAAAAAAAAGTTAAAAATCAATTGAAGAAAAAAAAAACTATTTTTACCAATTGGTGCACCAAATCGTTGTACAAGACCAGAATTAAGTCGTACACGATTAAGTACAAGTATATTAACATATGAATTATTTGATAATGATTGATTTGTAGATTCTGTAACTGATGCAACATGTTCATTACTTTCTGTTATTGATGAAGGAAATTGTATAGCATATATATCATGTGTTAATCGAGACATTGGTTCTGTATCATGAAATACTTGAGAAAAACCATTTTGTTGTTGTATTTCAACAAGAGCAAGCTGAAAAGAAAAGAAAATAGAAAAATATTTTTTTTTGTTTTTTTTGAAATTTCTTTACATCATTCGGATCAAGATTTGATTGTTGAGCAATAGCTTCTCGAACATCTTTAACTGTATTTGTAATTGGTAAACATAAACCAATTTGTAATTGTTTTGGTGATTGATTAAGAAAGACAACAGTTATAAAAACAGGTTTTATAATTTTTTGTGGTATTGGTAATGATAATAATAAATATGGTTCAAATGTTTTACTTTCTTGTTTACATTGATTACAACGTAATGTTGAATGAAGTTGAGCACTAAATGTTAATGTTATTATACTTTGATTTGCATCTGTATAATCTGACCATGCACGTCGTGCTAATTCAACTGATGCAAGTGATGAAGATGATTGAGAAGAAATAGTTGTAGATGAAAATGAATTCTACAAAAAAAAAATAATAAATAAATAAATAAAAATCATATTTCTTTTATTTAAAATTTATATACTTTAGGTTGTTGTCGTATTCTTCCATTAGTAACTAAATTTAATTCATCATGTATTGTATTAATAAGAAATAATAAAAATTCTTGAGCATCATTTTGATCATTACCAGAATATTGTCGATTAAGATTACCAATAGTTGTTTTAAAATCATAAGATAATTTAGATGTTGTATTTGATGAATTATTCCATAATGCTTGAAATATTTGTACAAAAGATTTTGTTACTTTAAAACCATGTGGTTGAGATGTTGATGAATGTTGATAATCAAGTATTGCATTTTTTATATTACGCATATCAATTTCATAACCTTTACGAAGTATATATAAGGCTAATGGTTCTGTATGACATAAACATTGAACAATAGCATTTATAAAACTAAAAATATTAATATAAATTCTCTTAGAGAAATAAAATATTTATTTCCTTTTTTTTTTTTTTACATATGAAATTAATTTTCTATTAAATAGAAATTTAGTCATAAAAAATGACTTAAATTATGTAATCAACTTTTCATTAGAATAAATGGAAATATTTTCAAAAAGAGAAATTAAAATTAGTCAATGTTTGATTAATACATTGTCGAAGGATGTGAGTTTGAATATAATGTTAATAATCTTTTAGTCACTCACACTTCAAACCATTCTATTCTGTTAATCTCTCGTTACTAATTCTATTCTTTTTTTTTTTACATTCAATGTTTTTCTTTCATATCTATACAAAAAATTTGAGATCTTGCAGCATGAATTACAAACATTTAATGAAGAAATCTAATTAAATACGATGATTACGTTAATATTGGAATCGTTTAAATATATATGAGTACTTATTCTTTATCTTAGTCACAAAGAAGATTCGTAATTATTTTTCTTTTTGCATTACTAAATTAGTACTACTTTATTCTATTAGTCGAATATTTACAAAGACTTAAAATATATGTAAAAATATGGTTCCATTAAAATGAAACTACTGAAATTTTAAACACAAGAAATTCAGAAGAAAAAAGAATATAGAAAAATTTCTATTCAAAATCATTCTATGAAGAATAATAATCCATTGAACTTTATTTATAAATTTCTAAAGAAATTTAGCTAATTATTTCAATACAAATATAAAACAGAAAAATATTAGAACTATCTAAGGACAAGAAAAAAACAACTAATCTCAATTATGAATCTTTACTTTCAATCTAAAGTGCTTGAATATGAAATCAGTATATGTATTCTTATTCTATATGTATATTTTACAATAGTAGATCAAAAACAAAGTTAATAATATATTTCAAAATGCATTCTATTTATGTTCTTTATTGTTGAATTTGAACTATATAATTAAAAAATAAAATAACTATATAATATTTTTTTTTTTTTTATTTCAAAGAAAAATAAAGAGAATATAATTAGATTTAAGTATTAGTTTCTGAATAAATTATAACTATGTTTGTAAAAGAATACTGTTTGACCGCAATAAGAACAAAATTTTAAACATTGTTTTTTTCTCTTTTCCTTGATTTTATCTTAATAGAAAAAAAGAAACGAATTTTTACCATGTATTGCCACAATTTTTAAGTCCATATAAAAATGGAATATGTTGAGTTGCAGGTGATAATGTACGTCGAGTTGATTTTCTTCGAATATCTAAACGTGTTAAAGAATTTCTTCGATTTTCATTTAAATTTATTGCATTAGTATTATTATTATTATTATAATTATTTATTCCTGATGTTGAATTTAAATTATTAAATAGAATTGGTGAAGTTGAATTATTTAAATTTTGTTCATTTGAATTATTTACATTTGATATTTGATAATCAGAAGATTTTTTTGTTGATGGAAAATTAATTAAACGTTTTAAACGTGAAAAAAATGATCGACGTGATTTTGATGTATTAGATAAAACAGATTCATAACCAGATGATGATGATGATATAGTTGTATTTGTTTTATAATATGATGGTGAATCAGATTGTATTTGTTCAGTTGATATTGGTGAATATGAATGTGTTGTTAATGGTAAAACATTTGATACAAAATCAAGAGAACCCGATTGCATTGAACCTAATGTACGTATATGATGATGAAGCGTATTATTATTATTATTTATTGAGAAAGATTTACTAGAATAAAAATATTTTTGATAATGAAAAAAAATTAATGAAATATTTTTACCTGCCAACAACATCAGCAGCATCACGTTGTTTTTTGGAATTATAAGAAATAAAATCTGTACTAGCTGCATTAACACAATGTTGAACCATTTTTTTTTAAGTCTAATTTAGCATATAAAGTGCCAAAGAACAAACATGATCTTTATCAATTCATGGCAAAACAAAAAGAAAAGAATAAATAAATAAACAAGTATTAAGTATTATACCACAGAAAAATGTCAACTTGTCGATGATTGATTATAGATGTCATTGATTCATATCTTTTATTCATTTTCAATAGAAAATTATTTTTCGTTTCTATATATAGTTAGTAAATAATAAGTAAATTGAATTGACTCATGTTTTTAACTCATAATAAATAATAATCATATGATATATTATGACATCTATAGTACGTTAACGTATAAGTTCGTTGAATTAAAATCAGAAAATATGCAAAAAGTTTTTTTATGATCTAATAAATAGTATGTGATACTTATGATTTGTAATTTTATACAAATTATTTTTTTTTTAATTGCAAAACTTAGTTGAACTCATTTAAACTGTTGAGAAATAACTTCAATTATTAAAATGTGTATCAATCAAATATACAATAAAATCTATACTATTAATAGTAACAATGGAGAAATTGAATTATGAAGTATATTGTTATATCAGAGCATTAAATAATATACAATCTTACGTTTTTCTTTGATAATAAAGTACTAAAAAATTTTTTTGATTGTGATTTTTTTTTTGAAAATTTTATTGATATTCATTTTAAAAGTAAAGTGAGAAAATATGATGATCAAAAATGATTTTTCTTATAAGATTCGATTGTTATTAAATGCTATCAAAAAAAAAAAAGTATACTAAGAATTTTTCATAAATTTTAGTAGTACTTCTATATGATGAATTACTACTCAATATTGTAAAAATGTTTTTCTATGATTGGTAAAAAAAACAAAATTGTAATTTTCTTTAAATTTGAGGAAACATTTCTCTTTTTTTTTCTCCGAATACATCAGTAATAATTATCATTTTATGATGTGCGACATTAGAAAAGAAAATCTATACTGCCACAAAAAAAAAAAAAAATATTATTTTTTCATACTGTTCTATGAGAATAAGACGTGAACTATGATATATTTTATTTTTATCATATTCCTATTTTCATTCATATATCCAATATTAATTCAATGTCAATCTGGAACATTTACGCCGATAACAGGACGAATAGATTCATTGATGTATGATTCATATGTTCGAATGATAAGTGAACGTGATTGTGTATCAATTTGTCTTCAATATTCATCACCATTATGTTATGCTATATCTTATGAAAATTTTCGTCAAGAATGTCGAATTATAACAGAATCTGTATCATCATCATCTATTCCAAATCAATTATATATTAATTGGCGATCATATATTCGAATAGATGACTCGTAAAATAACTGAAACTTTTTCAGATATGTATATCAATTAAAAACAATAAAATAACTTAAAATTTTCATATCTTTCACTCACATATAACAAGATTCTGAATATCGAAAAGTTTTGTTTTACTTATCTATATATGAGTCCTTTTGTTTTTTTTTGTTTTGAAAAGTAGAATAGAACAAGAAAAACAATAGAGTATATGACTTTCTTTATAATTTGAAAGTACGAAATATAACTCACGTATAAATACAAGCGTGAAACATTCGAACGAGAAAACTTTTCTAAATGTTAAATCGCTTTTAAACCATAACTGTGTGCATCATATAGATTCTATTGAACTATGAATACTTTGAAAAAAGAGTTCGTGCTGATAGCTTATTGCTACTAAGATATTGTATTTTTTAATAGAATGCCATGGCCCCCCTCGAGAAAACTGAGTTTCGAATTTCGACTTGAAACTTTGCATAGAGACACATCTTAATTAGAATAATTTATTGTAAAAGTTTTAGATCTTTTGATTGCTTCTATTCTAAGATAACAGCTGTGGTAACAGCATGTTTTTCACACCGCGCTTTTATACAACGGGAAATTCCGATGTTCTTATTTCAAAATTAGTGCAATCGAAAAAATTGAAAACCTTCACAATAAAATATTCTTGTTGAGGTCTATTTCTATGCAAATTTTCAAGTCGAAATTCAAAACTCAGTTTCTCTGAGGGAGGCGGAGCATAGCATGCTGCTAAAAAAATACAGTCTCTCGACAGTAATAAACTATTAGTCCAAATTCTCTTTAGAGTATTCATAGATCATTAGAATTTACATGATACACATAGTCTCGACTGAATACTAATTTTATACTTAGAAACGTTTCCTAGTATGTTTAATTTATAGAACAAGTGTGTGTAATGGAAAAACAATTGTCTAAAGTCGATGAGACATCATTACAGAAAATCAAAAGTCAAAACTTGATACACACTCAAAAATGAAATAGATTTAGTCATCATCTATTCGATCGCATACTGTAGAAAATTTTATTATCATATGATTAGATTCGAATATTAAAGAATCAAATAAAACTACTCAACATTCAATAAATCAATTTCAACGTATTTAGAATATTTTCTTCTAATAAAGATAGTAATTTTATTCGTAATATTAAGAATTAAAAAGTATTTTTGATTCTTTCTGATAGCTTTAATAATCATAAATTAAAATCTGAACAATGAATTAATAAAATAAGATGTTCGTCAATGTGATACGGATTTAACATCTATTAGTATTGTTTCTAATATATCAGTAACTAATTCTGATGATCTTGATCAATCACTCATGTATTCATAATTGTTAAAAGAAATTCTACTTGAATTAGAACATGATGATACAGATAATAAAGATCTTATTGATTTTTGTCATGAACAATACTCTGATAATGATAATGAATTTAATCAAAATTATAAGAAATCATTATCAATTTGATCGTGATTCTCATTAATAAATTGAACAATTATATTCTCAATTAAATAATTTACATCCATTTATTGTCTATCGAGGACAAGGTATATTAAATAATGAATTCGAAAAAAATGAAGAAAAGTAATGGTGGATGTCTTCTATCATTTAATAATTTCTTATCAACAAATGTAATGAAAGAAATATTAATGAAGTTTCCTCGTCAAGCTTTAAATAATCCTGAATTAATAGCTATTTTTTTTTCAAATCGAAATTGATCCATCAATAGCATCAATACTATTTGCTTTATTAGATAAAATTAGTTATTTATTCTGATGTTGAAAAAAAAAAATTTATTTTCCATGCATGTAATCTTTCGAATTGAAGATATGAAACAAAAATTGAAAATCGATTCTGGGTCAATTCATCAATAGGAAATAAATCAAATACAATTTCATATTATGTAGAATCATCCTTTATTAACTATTATTTATCGTAATATTGCAAGAGTATTAGAAGATCTTCAGTAATATAAAGAATCTATTGAACATGTTATTCAAGTTGTTGATATATCTCACCGTGCTTTTGAATGTAATCATGTTGAAGTAAAAGTGAATCAAGATGATCTCGAATGACTTAAGCAAAAACTATGATTATTTTGCTATGTGTAGAGATGAGCTTTCATTTTTGGTTACTATCGAATGTGTAACTCTCGCTGAATAGATGGAAGCAAATAGAAAAAAAAACAGTATTCATCATAAGTATAAATACTAAAAATAAATAATGTAGTCAACAAATGAAATTGAAACTGTATTGAAATCCTGCTATTGATATCAACAAATGATAAATATTAAAAATAGAAAAGTAAGATTCGAATCTATGAATCTCACATTTCACAATCAAATAAAACCGAAAGAACACAAATAAACCAAGAGAAATACATAGTATCAAAGAAAAAGCCAAACAAACTGATCGAAAAACATTAAGATTGATATCAGTTATAGTACCAGTATCAACAATCACCATGAAAAACATACATAAAGGCTAATAAATAATAGAACTCATATTGATAAAAAGAAGAGAAAAAAAACAGAAGATGTGAAGTATATATACTTATTTTAACTTCAATTTTTCTAAATATTCAAAGATAGACTAATTTAGATTCATTGGCGCATACCTGATAAACAAAAAATACAACTATCATTTTTTTCTATGTTAATACTAGCAATTTCCATCTCATTTTTTTCTTGTTACATCTCATCTGCATAGTAATTCACATGCAATGAATATCTCCAAGTAAAAGATAAAAGAATATCAAATAAGAACATTTTCAAGTCAGTCATATTCTTGTTGGTTGTGCATCTATATTTATCCTAAGATTTCATATCTTACTTCAAATAAAACAGAGAGTATCACACACACATATCAATTATTTTACCAGTGGTCTTTTTCTATTTCAAAATAAGATCATGAGATATTGTCTTCTGCTGTTAACATTGTGGTATTGTGCTGTCAATGGTCTTTTGTATCCAGCAGAAAGTGAAACACGACAAATTAGATCATTAGATGGTCTATGGCAATTTCGACTCGATGAAGATGGAGTAGGAGAAACTGAACAATGGTTTGCTAAACCAAATTTACCTCAACCTACTATTCTTATGCCTGTACCAGCCTCTTATAATGATATAACACAAAATATTACTATTCATCGACATATTGGTTGGGTATGGTATGCACGTGATTTTTTTATTCATAATACAGCACCTCGTTGGGTACTTCGATTTCAAGCTGCTCATTATGAAACACATGTTTGGGTTAATGGACAATCAGCAATGAATCATTCTGGTGGACATCTACCATTTGAAGCTGATATTACTCGATTCATTTCAATTAATGAAAGTTATTCGAAAGTACGAGTTGTTGTAGCTATTAATAATACTCTTACATCTACAACATTACCACCAGGTTATCTACATATTTATAATCCAACTTATCGTTATCTTGAAACTCCATTTGATTTTTTTAATTATGCTGGTATTGATCGTTCAGTTATACTTTATTCTACTTCAAATATCTATATTCAAGATATTGCTATTGATACACAAAGTATTAATTTCGATAATCAACATGTAGCTACATCCGCTATTCTCACTTATTCTATCACAATTGGTGGAACAAATCGAGCTAATAGTCTTCATGTACTCATTGAACTCTTGGATGCTAATGGTATAGTTGTTGCTAATAATACTGATTCTCAATCACGTCTAGTTGTTAATAAACCAAATCTATGGGAACCTTGTGGAATGAATCATACTCATCCTTGTACTGAAGAAAGTTATTTGTATACTTTACAAGTAACACTCTATAATGATGCATCATCATCATCATCATCATCAATGAATGTCGTAGATATTTATCGTATATCACATATTGGAATTCGTACTATTAGATTGACAGATTCAAAATTTTTAGTCAATGAACGTCCATTCTATTTTCATGGAGCTAATGCACATGAAGATAGTGATATTCGTGGAAAAGGATTTGATCGAGTAATTCTTACTAAACATTTTAATTTATATGGTTGGTTACATGGTAATGCTTTTCGAACATCACATTATCCATATGCTGATGAATTTTATCAAATGGCTGATCGATTTGGTATTGCAATTATTGATGAAACTCCAGCTGTTGGATTGAGTGCAACACAATTTGTTTCACAAGCTACTTTAGATCATCACAAACAAGTTGTCATAGAAATGATTAGTCGTGATAGAAATCATCCATCAGTTCTTATGTGGTCTTTAGCAAATGAACCTAAATCTGATGCTCCTAGTGCAAAAGAATATTTTAGTACATTAGCTAATTTTACAAGACCATTAGCAGCAGGTCGTCCTATTACATATGTTATTTCAGCAAGTTATAATGGTGATCAAGGTATTCAATTCTTTGACATGATTTGTGTAAATCGTTATTTCGGTTGGTATAGTGAACCGGGTCGTCTAGATCAAATTCCATGGTTAGTATCTCAAGAACTTGCTAATTGGCGACGTAGATTTCCAAACAAACCAATATTAATGAGTGAATATGGAGCGGATACAGTACCTGGTCTTCATAATGATCCATCATTTATGTTTACTGAAGAATATCAAAATGATTTTCTTTCAGCTTATCATGGATCTTTTGATAATGTTTCTTCTATTATTCATCCAGATACAGGTTATTTTGTTGGTGAATTAGTTTGGAATATGTTTGATTTTGCGACTGAACAAAGTATTAATCGTGTAGCTGGTCTAAATCGTAAGGGTCTCTTTACTCGACAACGTCAACCGAAAGCAGCTGCTTTTATAATGAAAAATCGCTATGAACAACTTGAATTAATACGAACAATGAAGAGCAAAACTATTCAATAAACAATCAATTCTTTCACTAGTTTATTTGAACTGAATTATTCGAATCAATAGTAGTTTGTAATAAATTTTCGTTGTCATCAATCATAGATATCTTCTTTTTCTTTTTGTGTATATTTTGTCGTGTTATTCAAAGTGTGAACTTCCAAGGCAAAACAATAAATCCTACAGTTTAGTTTACTCCATAAGAAAATTGATCTTCAATAAACTACATCTTATAGAGTGGTATAGAGAAGAAGTGAAAAGTATACAAAGCACGTCAAGCACAATTTTCTTTTTTTCTAACATCAAATTTATTTTTGTTTTTTCGAAATATTAGTATTTGATAGAAATCAAAAATAACTTCTATTTACAATAACTTGACAATTCACATGTTACTCTTATTATGATACTATCGATGTTTACATAGTTCAGTTATAATAGAAACATGGAAGACTCATGATGTATAAGTATTGTTCGATTATACCAATATGTTAATGTAAAAAATATGTTATAATAAAATTAAAGCAAAACAATGATTTTTTTGTACTTGTTACTAAATTAGATTGAAATATGAGTAGATCCTGACATGAATCGACCTGATGAAATATATGATTTAGTGATAGAATGTCTCAATGACATAGAAGAGTGACAAAAAAAAACCATCATCATAAGAAATTTAATTTGAAATTAAGTAGTTATATGTCTTTCAAAAATATATGTGTTTTTCTTCCTGACATATTGTTGTGAAGAATTAACAAGTTTTAGAAATAAAACAAAGATATTGTTCAGAATGAACATATAGGAAAGAAAAATATTTACCAACACTTCTTAAATTAGGTGAAGGAAGAAGTTGTTTTCTTTCATTTCCAAAGTCATTAATATCATAAAAATAGAACATGAGTAATAAAAGAATCAAAGACGACTGAATCATTCTATTCTTTGTCAATATTTTATTACTGTAATCAAACTACAATTCATGCTAGCTTCTAATGAGTGTCGAGCACCAACATGTATGCTCTTTCAATGAAACAGAAAAACAAAACTTTACTATTTTGATTGTATAGTTTCAAAAGAAAATAAAATGATTTAAAAATAATATTTTGACCATGTAGAAGAAAATTTTTAAAAATATTGAGGCAAAATCAGAAGACGCTCAATTATCAGAAACTTACAGGTGTAAATTAGTAGATGGGATGATCGTGTCTCAAAGAAAATACTAGATAAGGGAATATTTAATACAGCAACATATTATCAGTAAAAAAAAGTTATTACACGATCTTCACATTCTCGTAACGTCGAAAACGTTTGGTTATAGTCATCCTTAGTAAATCGAATAAAGATATTAAAGAATTCTATTATTCAACTTTGATGTATCAATTTTATCATTTAAATTGAAGAAGAAAATATATTACTCATTATGTTGGTTTGTCTGTGTCAAAAATTCATTGTATTTATCGACAATATTACTCAAATCGATGTTTCTTGTGAATATAAAAGTAGAATTATTGATAAATAGATATAAAAAAAAACGTACATTTATTGAAATTGAACCGATCTGTGATAATATTTAAACAAAATTTGAATTGATTTCTGTCATAAGCAGGATGTTGAGAATTATAATAAACAGAATATTATCAATGTGTTTGAACGAAAATACAATCTTCTATCATTAATCTGATAGTATACTCACGAATGTTTTTTATATTCAATTATGATCAAAGGTTGAAGAACATAAGATATCGAAATTATTATAAGAATGGACTTTTTCCATTCAAGACATTTTTTATCTACCAGTCTTTGAAGACATATATCATGGAAATACGCTTGTCGAGTTTGAAAGAATCTAGATTTAATAGCCATTATGTTTCAAATGAAAATTGATCTATCCATTTCTTCAACATCATCTTCTTCTTTAGATAATATTAGTTATTATCCAAGCAACGAAAAGCAATACTTTTTTTTTCTATGTATACCATTTTTCGCACTGATAAAACGACGCAAATCGAAGATCAATTATTGTACATTGATTTGGCATTAAACCTAATGATCATGATCAACAAATAAAACAGCTCATTCAATATATGAGAAAGGAGATAGAAACTGATATAAGCCTCTATCAAATAGATATATTAATTACTGAAATGGATGAATTTAACCAAACGGAAAAATCTCTACGGCACAAATAGAAACAATTTCTGACAATGATTGGCCACGAAGAGTTAATATTTATCATCAAGTTTGAGATATGTATATAATCAGAAAAATCCCTTGTTGAAAGCATTATGGATACTCCTTGGATAACGCCTTGGTTTACCTAACAAAACATGATCTTAAATTTTCAAGAACTTATACAGATTTTAAACTAGTTAACTTCGAAAAATAAATTGATTACAAAAATGCATTGAAGAATTACACTCTTATTATTAAAAGTAATGTTCATCTATCACAATCTAACCTAATACAGATTGTTGCTCATTATAATAATATTAATGACGTACTTATAAATCAAAGAAAAGTATGCATAAGTATGCCAGAATTTTAATTGTGTACTCAAAATAAAATGCCGTCATCTTCCACTTTATCATATTCATCTTTCAGTATAACCTATAATAATATAAGCTCGATACATTATTCAATGAAAAATTATTCGACTGTATTATTTTACTATGAAAAGACACTTGATAACGATCAAAAGCTTCTTCCAATCAATCATTTATCATTAGCTGTTACTCACATCAATATAATAGCAGTATATTATAGTCTTCATCGATATTAAGAACCTATTGAGTATAATAGGCAAGTGATTAATATAACCCTTCATTTATTCGACTTAAACCATCCATAAATATGGGACTGTCAAAATAATCTCAATCGATATCAACGAAAATTGAAGCTCATTAATCAAATATTTGACGATTACATTAATTATTTTAGTTAAAGATTTTATATATTATTCTGTTAATATATATTTCTTAATAAAGTCAATCCATTGCTTTACAAAGACAAGGTTCTTCTAATGACAATATTTTTCATATTTTATTTAAAAAAAAAAAGATTTTACCGATTTCAAAAGAAAAGAAAATTATTAATAATTCATTGTTGAATTAATAGTATCCTTTTACATACAAATCAACAAAACAAGAACTGAAGTCATTTATTAAAAATATATTCGCAGTTTTCAAAATCTTATAATTACAAGAATTAACCTACATAAATTTTAAATTATCTATATTATAAAAGAGCCTACAAAATTATATTCATATTATCCTAAACTTGCTTGTATTTATTAATATCTAAAGCCCGTCAATTTCAACACAAATCATTTTCTCTCATATGTCTTTATTAATTACAATATGTCACTTCATTTCCATCTGCTTAATTATCGTATCACTATTGAGTACATTTAAAATCAACCAATTAAAATTCGACAGACATATACAGGTAGTTTAATAGGGTATTTTTTCTTCTCGTTCTTTACATAGGCAATGAAAGAAAATTAAACCACAATATTCAATAACCTCATATGTTACTAAACTATTTTAATCATGTATGAATATTTCATCTTTATTATTCTTATTATTTTCATTTCAAATGTTTCAACAATAAATAATATTGATGATATATATTCATTAGAAACATGTAATATTCCAGAAGAATTCTCATATATAACACAAGATGAATTTGATATTCGTTATGGTGGTGATGAAAAAAATTTTTCTAGACCAGTTGTTTTTCGTCAAATACCAATGAATAAACAATTTCTTAATATGATTCAACTTGATTCAATACTTCATCGTTATGGTAATAAATATATAACAGTAACAACAGCAAATACATATTCATATCAAAAAGAATATATTAAATTAAATGATTATATTAATTTACAAAAAAAATTATCAAAAACAACACAATGGGGAAAGTAAAATTATTCAAGAAAAATTTTTAAATACAAAAAACAAAAAACATTTTTTTGTTCTCTAGTGAAACTCTTTATTGGTTTGGTGATGATTTATTAAATGATCAAAAATGGCTTAATGAAATTCTTCAATATTATAAATCACCATCATATAGTGTTGGTGATTTTATTCATCCATCATTAAGTTTTGGTATCGGTGGTCAAGGTACTGGTGTACCATTTCATTTTCATGGTCCTGGTTTTCAACAAATAATATTCGGTAGAAAACGTTGGTATTTATCTTTAGAAAAACCTTTATTTGATCCAAATGAAACAACAATTCAATGGTCAATTGAAAAACGATTTACATATAAACAACCATTTATTTATGAATGTACATTATATCCTGGTGATATTATTTTTTTTCCTAATTTATGGTGGCATGCAACATTAAATTTAGATTTTTCAATTTTTCTATCAACATTTTTAAGTTTATAATTAATTTTTAATTTAATAAGAAACAGATAATTATTAATCATTTAAATAGAAGACATATCAATAAAAAAAAAAAACAGATATTATTTTAATTCTCCTTCTTTTTTTTCTTCATATTTCAATAAAATATATACCATGACAATTCTTGGGATTATTTCGATTATCCAATTTTTTGGGGACATATGATTAAGTTTAATAGAAAACTTATGAATAAAGCTAAACAAAATCTTCAATATATTTTCAATAATAACAGAATATTAATAATCTAATCGATTTTCGTTTCAATATAAAAACAAACCTATCACGAAAAAAAAAAATAGAAACTTAAACATTTTAATGGAATGATATCATAACATCATACGATTTATTGTATTCCATATTGTTTTTATATCTATACAGATGTTTTTATTCCCATGATCACCTTATTATCTAATAGACATTATTACAATCGATCGCAATCTAATGAATAGGTTCATTATCTATTAAAAAAGAACCTAAACATCAACCATGACTCAAACGAAGTACTTCTACGTGTAATAATGTATATCTCACAATGAGTTACAATTTCTTATTACAAAAAAGAAACACATTCTTATTGTAAAATATTTGAGTCATCAAATACCATTACTGTCTAATAGATCATATTTTCTTTTTTTACAAACATTGAAGTATCAATTGAATATGATGACATTGTTGGAAACAAAAGTTTTGTTATTAAAATCATTTTTACCTTTTATATAAATCGGTTTTTTTTTCTAAACCACACAGTAGGCAATATTTTAATTGATATGATAGACAAATTTCTTTTTAAATTTGCACATTAAAAACATCTGTTTCTTAAAACATTAGTGTCATCGATAAATACAAATTTTTCTTCGTCGTACGTTTATTATTATTGTTATTATTTTTCTTTGTTAAATTTTATCTTCTATCATTTCTGCATAACAAGTACTTTGAAATAGATATTTCGTGTCATCATTAAATAACCAAGGGGGTCAAATTCTTTCTTCATTTTCTTTTTCTAAAAGATAGTCACTATGACAATCAATAATCATTATTTCTATTGGTTAAAAAATATGGCAAGCATTAGACATATCATCAAGCCTTTATAATGATTTTTTTTTTCTATTTACAATCTTTTTTATTTGTCGCTTTTGTTTTCTTTTTTTTTTGTTGATTGATCATTATTAATAATAATAACAACAACAACAACAAAAAAAAAAAAACAGCTGTTTATCGTACTTTTATTAGACTATTAACGAAATTTGATCTCTCGTATTTTTTACACGACACTAAAAAAAAGAAAAATATTTGCAAACGTTTTTTTTTTCTTTTTTTCTTCCTTCTAGATTTTTTTTTTATCGTTTACTTCTCTCGTTTTTTTTTTTCTTTTTCTTCTTCTCTCTCTCCCTCGCTTTCTTACAAATAACAAAAACACAAGAAAAATATAAAAGCGAATGTTCACCTCGTCTGACCCAAATTTGACCGATTTGGATTTCGAACTTGTGGACGAATTACAACAAAATCAATTTTTAAACGAAGCAATGATTAAAGAATTATTATCATCATCACCATCATCAACATCACCATATCGAATTGTCAAACCATCGTAAGGAAAAAACAAAAATTTGTAAAAGTTTTTTCATTTTGTTGTTGTTGTTTTTTTAAGAAGTACAAATAAACGTAGTGGAACACTTCAATTACGAAGACAATTAGTAAATGTTTTGAAAATTTTATTTTTATTTATAAAAAATTTTGTTTTTAAGACTGATGATGGTTTAAATAAACAACGTACACCACCTAATTCAACTGGCACTAGTTTGTCACCATTATCAAGTTCATATTTAAGTCGATTGTCATCATCAAATGACAATAGCCCAATACGAACAACGAATACAGTACGTATGTCATCACCAGTATCAAATAATAATAATAATAATAATGGACTATCAACATCGGCAAAACAAGTAGATGCAGTTACTTTATTACTTAAACAGACAATTGCACCTGCACAACTTATACAGGTAAAAAAGGTAGTGATATAATGAAAAGAGAAAAAAAAGAAAACGAAACGTTTATTGCATATCTTTATATTTATAAAAGTGCGTAATGTTGGCCTTAGTTAGAAGAACAATGTTTGATCGTAGCGAATATCCTAATTTTCTTCAAAATATTAAAGTATTAATATTTTCTCTTTTGAATAGACTGTTCAAACTCGTCTTGAAAATCCGACAAGATATCATCTTGAACAAATGTGTCGTAAACAAAGTTTAGTTGGTGACGAATCATCTACAACAAATCAAATTGTTGTAAGTCCTTGAAAATAAATTTTTTTCTATGTCTTTTAATATAATTTATTATTTTCTCCTTCCTACAGTCATCTCAACCACTTCAACAAGACGCATCATCTCCAGATAGTGAAATAACTTCTGAAGTAAAATTTTCAATAAAAATATCATTTGAAAGTTTATAATTGATTTCTTTTTTTTTCTCTCTCTCTCTCTCTCTCTCTCTGTAGATGGATGATCAACTTAATGATGATACAACGTGTGGAAGTATTGATAGTACATCATGTGGAATCAATATAACACCTCGAGTAAATTAAATATTTTCTTTTTTTATTTTTTGAAACAAAATATTTCATTTTAGTTATCAACAACAATGACTGGTGATCATCCTGGTTCAATATATCTTTCATCATCAATTTCAAAAGATTCTATGGATAGTATTAATCATCATTCATCATCTTGTCCAACAAATATTTTAAGTGCTAAAGCTAAAATTGGTTTACCATTAACAGAAGATGAAATGCGACTTGTTTTACGTGATCGTCAAAAAAAAGATAATCACAATATGAGTAAGATGAAATGAAAAACAATAATACGAATTTTTTTTTTTTGAAAAATCTTTATTCTTTATAGTTGAACGTCGTCGTCGATTTAATATTAATGATCGTATTAAAGAACTTGGAACTTTATTACCTAAAGGAACTGATTTGTAAGTAAATATTAGACTAAAGTTAAATTTAATTAATTTGTTCTTTTTTTTTTAAAGAGATAGTAAACAAAATAAAGGTACCATATTACGTGCATCAGTTGATTATATAAGAATTTTACGTCGTCAATATGATAATGCATCATTAGTAGACGAAAAATGTCACATGCTTGCAGAGCAAAATTTGGCATTACAAGAACGAGTTCGAGTAAAACACACAAAAAAAAAAAAAAAAAGAATAAAGATTATTAAAATTTTCTATATTTTTTTTCTTTTATAAAGGAATTAGAAAAAAAATGTTTATTAAATGGTATTCCAATTAGTTCACCAACAAAAACTTCACCATCAATAGCTGTAACAACATCAAATATTGTTAAACAAGAACCATCATCATTATCATCATCATTCAATAATTCAATAAATCCATTAGTACCACCATCAACACCAATATTTGGAGCAATTGATACATATCCACCACTTGATTCATTATCATCATTTGGTATTGTTGATGAAGATAGTAATGAAAAAACAAATACAAATGGAAATACAAATAATAATAATGTTGATCCATTATCACCATTAGTTCATGATCCATTTTTATCTTCGACATCATTTGGTTTTGATAATGAAATGGATATTGGAGGAGTCTTTCCGTAAAATGTATAGAAATGCATGCATATGCTCAATTATAAACTGGCTTATATGTATTTTTTTTTTCTTTTGTTTTGTATAGATGTGCAATGGGTTTTCTTTTCGTGTATATATTTATATATATATATATGTATTGATGATGATATTTGTCCTTTATTTTCTTTTGCCTTCGATTGCAAAACAGTGCTTTGTGAATTTGGTGCTGCTGTAAAAAAAAATTTATGACAAATTAATAAAATAAGGGGCCTTGTGTTCAGTTTTCTTTTTTCTTGATATTTCTTTTGACAAAAAAAAAAAAAAAAAAAACAAACCCAAACGCACATCTACTTTTTCATTTGTGTGATATACACATTTTTCACTTTCTGTCTTTTGTATATATTTTATTCTTCCTTTCATACTGCCCAAAATTGTATTTGTTTATTGTATTATTATTATTATTATCATCGAGTACTTGTATAGTGTACATTTTTCCTTTTGTTTGTTTCTATTCTTTTCTTTTTCTTTTTTTTTTGCTTTTGTTTTTCTATATGAGGAACAGTTGTGCTATTCTCTGGTTGTCATTATCTATTTATCACCAAATCATTTTGTTTTCTTCCTACTCATTATCATCATCATCATCATACTTATTTTATTGTGAAAAGATATACAAGACATTGTGCATGATATTAGATACTCCAATAAAATTTAATGAAGCAAAATATAACGTCTCAAATCGTATTATCATAGGTTTGTTTGTAATTACGAAATAATGTCCTATATTTACCGTTATCCTATATTATGATCGATAATATGAACTTAAATATCAATGTTTCGTAATACAATTGATTAATTATTGTCTTAGTTCATCACTCATGAATGTCGATTATTGATAACCTTTGGAATTGAATGATATCAATGATGTAAAAAAAAAGAAAAAGGAAAGAAGGAAAAAACAATAAAAATATCATTAGTGAACAAATGGTCAAATAGTTATTTATTCAATACATTAATTAATGAGGCATAACTTATGAACGGTCAATAATATGTTGTCTTTTTCTTTTTTGAATGTAGAAATAGAAGTTATATACTATCGAATAGGTTTTTATGGTTCAATTTGTTCTTTGATCAATTCGATATTATTCTTCTTGATTCTCAAGAGAATAACTAGTTAAATCTAATTTAATTAATTCATCAGATAGAATGCCATTGTTTCGTTCATTAATCCTAATATAAACAAAAAAAAAAACAAGGTTAAACTACGAAAAAAAAAAACGATAAAAAGAATACAATTGTTGACATGTAGTTAAACAAAATTCATAAATATTCTCTGGTTGTGATCGAAGAATTTCACGTGTTAAATATGTTAGTAATTCATCAAAGCCAAATGGTGTACGAAGATGTGTATTGGATAATGGTGGCGGCATATTTAATCACATAGCAACAAAGATATGTGTCATTATTGTACTTATTATTTAACATTGCGTCTGAGGTATTCAGATTGACATTGTTTCAACAAAAGTATACTCTTTGCATCTTTTGACATTTCTTTTTATAACAAAATTATAATCTGTCGACAGGAAGAGTCTGAACCTTGAATTTTCCTTTTTGGGTAAAGAAGAGGATGGCAAAACAAGAAAATTTTCTATCTGAGATAGCGTGTAATTAAAATAACAATATGCTATATATAACATATATATATATATATATATATATATATACTTCCATCTGTTTGTTTTCTGCATGGAATATAATACAATAAATATTAATGTACAAAAAAGAGAAGAATAGATTAATAGAAAAGACAGACACATACAGAATTGTAATTATAGAAGAAGGATGCATAATTCCGAATTAATCAAGACTTAGAAGATGTAGTGACAATTTTTCTCGGAAGAATTTTATGTTGTTTGTTTTCTTCTCTATTTATGTTTTGAGAACATCGTTCAATTCAGGAATATCTTATACTTTAAAAAAAACAGACTCGATTTGACCTTTTGACCTTTTAAGAATGAAACTTATCTTCATATCCATTTCCAAAAAAAGTTTCTCAATACTTCTAATACCAAAGATGTTTACACTAGCAACTATTTATTCATGAAGATCATGTTTTTCATCAAGCAACATAAATCGAAATTTCTCTGAATTCGATTTTAAGTCTTTAAAAATCTTTTTACATTTATAAAACTGATAACATTTTCTAATGGAAAATGTATTTGCGAACTCATTCATGAAAAACTCGAAAGTATTTTATTGTTTCTTTTAACGAATAAAAACCGTTAATAAATACCAATTATAATATACTAAAGCTTGTTAAACATTAAAAAAAACATTAGGATACATCACTAAAAGCAAATATCAGAGACTTCTTCGGTTAACTACGATTGTATATTTATTTTTTTGACTTTTATCCATAGTTCCTTCAACCAAAGTAGAACTTAAGTTTTGACCTTTTTTGAAAAATTTTGTATATATTGTTATTCATCCTTTATTCGATAGACATAATACCTATATATGATATTGATGTATGATTATGTAGTACAGGTCACCTACAGCTTATAATATTGATATCGTTTCATTAACAATGAATAGAAGAAAAATAAAACATGGTCACCTTTTCAACGATCATATTAGCTTGATTTTTACTTTTTCATTTGGTTATTGGAAATGGATGAATACATTGATCAATAGAAACCGTATGTCACATATTACTATCCCACGGTATGAAATCAATTAATTCTTTTCTTTTGTTATAAAAGATTGAAAATGAAAATAATTGAGTGATTGATGATGGGAAGAAATATACAGCTTGTTCTATTAAAATCTTTTTTCTCTTAAAAATATTTGATTATTCATAAAAGAATGAATTCTGAGATGTTCATATGATTAGATACAGCAGAAAAGCACTACAAAATGTTATGAAAAGGTTTTGGAAATAGGAGTGTTACATTTTCCGTTATTTTGACTTCAACTTGCCAAGTAACAAGAGGTATGACATTCCTACTAGGAGGCTTTAACAGAACAAGCTGTACCTTTCTTCTCATCATTAATCGATTATTTTCATTTTCAATCTTTTATAACAAAAGAAAAGAATTAATTGATTTCATACCGTAGGATAATAATATATGACATACTGTTTCTATTGATCAATGTATTCATCCATTTCCAATAACCAAATGAAAAAGTAAAAATCAAGCTAATATGATGGTTGAAAAGGTGACCATGTTTTATTTTTCTTCTATTCATTGTTAATGAAACGATATCAATATTATAAGCTGTAGGTGACCTGTACTACATAATCATACATCAATATCATATATAGGTATCATGTCTATCGAAGAAAGGATGAATAACAATATATACAAAATTTTTCAAAAAAAGTCAAAACTTAAGTTCTACTTTTGGTCGAATGCGCTATAGTAAAAACAATAAATTCTTTCAATTATTAATGCAGTACAAATTAGAGATGGGCACGGTTCGATTCGAACCTAAAGTCATATAGTTTAGAACAGTATTTCGATATGTAATGCAAGAAAAGTGAATAAAAAAAAAGCATGTCATAGGTAGAAATGCAACTGTTTTCTTAACACGAATAAAGTAAAAATAAATAATAACTAGAAAAACATGAATTTATACATATATAATATTAGTAGTACTTTCTCGATTAGATATACAGATTAAAGTTACAATTTAGTAATTAGTTAATTAATATTAATGGAGAATGTTCTATTATATCCAAGGCATCGTTTTTTCAGTTGAGCCTTCTATTATAGAGGAGTCTTCAATTATATGAAAAGGGATTTACACAAGGAGAAAACAGCATACTTTGAGCTACTCCGTTGTACTTTGATCTACTTTAAAAGGTACTGATAGATATTTTTAAAGTATTTCGTATAATGTTAGAGTATACCGTTTTCCTCTATGATTTAGATAACATCAGTCTAGAATAAGACAATTGTTATAATAAAAGTTAAACAGTTTTAATTATCTCTAATAGATTTTCAAAATTTTTGTCGGTTCTGTTCTATTCGGTTTAAATTTCAAAAAATCCGAATCGAACCTATATCTGGTACAAACTATCGATCTACAGAGCAGTTACATTATTCAATTGGAATAGTTAATTTCTAAATTTCGATTCAAGATAAAACAAACTAATTTCTATGCTAGAAATCACACTAAACCATAGAAAATCTTCATTAATAAGATTAAAAGTGAAGGCTTGATTTGTAATGATTTTTATTGACTTTCTTAGCTTTCAAGAATTGTCAATATTCCTAGTGGTTGCTTTTGGTTTCTTATGATTTTACTTCATTTCTAAGCATATAATTTCTATTGATTCACAGTAAACAAATACAAACTAATTTCCAGTGATAGAAATCGCGAGAAATTTGTTTGTTCTCTGTTGTTTTGATTCTTACATCTGGCAACACAGTATCGTAATCAATATAAACAAATAACATAATGAATTCCATGCGTTTGTTATTCAATGTTAGTCGAGTCTATGAATTTTAATAGAATTTAAATGTATCTTATTCTTACAAAAATAATCAATAGAAAAGATATTCATATTGGTTTAGTTTTTTTTTTTCGCAAAAATGAAATGAAGATCATTTCGGATTCGAAATGATCTTTTTGTAGTTAATAGAATAAAATGTTTAAAAGAATTTCAATTAATATCACATCTTTTTAAACTTTATAAAAATTCTTTATTTAACTGTTTGATGTAAATACAATATATTAAAGAAACTAAAATTTCGAAATATTGCACATGTAGATTGATGCAAAAACTAAACAGAAAAGACTCGTCACAGCTAAATTGTGATGACCAATGTTGAAACAATTATTTTCATGTAAATATTTCAGTATAAAGAATTGACTGCTTACTTTATCCTACAATTGGATTTTTCTCTTAAATCATTCCAGAAATAGCCGTTTTTTTTTTGTTAATAAATTAAATATATAACACAGAGAAAGAACTAGAAAAATTCTAGTTGAAAAATTACTTGATGTCAAAACATATCTGAATTTATCTCTATTATCAAAAACATCTTTCGATGTAAATGAGAAGTTCAATTCGATTGTTTCTAAAATTATCCAATCTCATTGACATCATAATAGTGACATTCATCAGAAAAAGTCATAGAACAATTTTCATTATCCTGTCCTACACTCTGCAGGACATTATCACTCAGTCATCCTGTTTTACAGGACAAAGAACTTTTCTGTGTCCGGTCTGCAGAACGATCTTTTCATTGTATTTTTGGCAAGGATAAAAAACTTGTCCGTATATGAGGTACGATTCTAGCAGAAATGAAATGAACAATAAAAACGAAACACACTTGACATTCGTAGAGTGAACAAAGCAATAATAAAACAAACATTTAGATACAAGATTCAAGATGTAATCAATATAAACACACGGACGGTGAGAAAGGATAAGTCTTATTTTCATTGCTTTTTCTTGAAATTCTCATATGAACGAATAAATAATATGTTACAAATGTCATCTGATGATAAACATGTTCATCTTTGAGTAAATGTCAATCTAGTTGAGGTAAATAATCTTTCCACCGAACCAGTAGTCACTGATATGGCATCTTTTTTTCTGGATACTATTAATAATAATGGAACATCACAACAAATTCAACTACTAGACTAGAACTTCATTGGATCACCATCAGTGAGGTAACTTTCATGTCCTACAGAACTCAAATATCATTCGGCAGATCCTGCATCCTATGACGTTCATAGACATTCATGCTGAAGATAAATTTCTCTTTTGGTTTCAAACCCCTATGATTCAGTGATTAAATTTGATTCTCAAAAAATCGTTTGTTATGACATAACCACAAGAGAGTAAGTTGTTTCCCTCTTGCATAATCACGAAAAAAATCTGATTTGTCACGAAATAGAAGTAATCAGTTTTTCACGTTGACTTTTTCGAAAGTCACCAAAATCGACAAGATATTCAAGGAATGAGCCTACTTTACTTTCGCCAATAGGCAATGTTCCAGCCATTTAATTATTCATACATCATTCTATATCATCAATGAAAAGCATTATAATTAACGTAAGTTCATAATTTTCATTTTAATATAATCCATAATATATTTTCATTTTCAAATATGAACGAAAAAAAATCTATTTCACATAACGCACAACAATAAATAAACTTACAAAAAAAAAAGAAACCAAAAGAGCACAGAATGAATTATTTTCTATACATTATATTCAATAAAGAGAAAACAAAAGTATAAATTTCAAGTTTACTATCATAAACAAGTGTTTAAAGCAACGAACGAATTTGTTTTGTTTTTTTTTTTTTAAATTCTTTTAAACAAATGTATTCGTTGGTGAACCTTTAACAGCTAACATTGATGAATTTGTCATTTCATAAAATGGTTGTGCTGTTGTTGTTGATGATGAT